GCCATTTTCAAGCTCTCTAAAGTGGATTTTTGGGATCAGCACATTGGATAACCTCAGGTAAGCGGGAGACCAAGTTGAGATTTGCCGAGCCACTGCCTTCAAGATCTTATGTTATGAAAGTGCTCACTGCGTTAGGCTCGGTTCATGCTGACCTATTAGCTCGAACATTTCCAAACAGCGTCCGAATTGCACAGCTGTGCTCTAAGTGTTCCCGCACTCACGGATCAGTATGAACCCAGCATTAGCTCCCCGCCAAAGCCGCACTAATACAGTTCTCCAGCTTTTCTAACCCTTTTTCCTTCTCTGCTTGTATAACAGCACTTCCCAACCTCAATACTAAGCAATAGAGCGGTCGTTTCTCAATCGCGCTATTGCTGGGTTGGTCTGGCGTCTGGTTTGGGGCGCGGTTGGTTCTCGAGCGTTATAGGCATACTTCATTTTTTTTTTCTAAAAACGCTATGTTTCATGCAACAAACGCCCGCTTTGGTGGATAGTATATCTCTCTTGTCTGGTAACGAAGCTTGAACTGAAGCGAACTTAGATCAGAATACTTATTTGTGCAAAACATGGTCATGTTTTTTGGCTCACACCATTATGAGAGAACAAATCGCATAATTCTGTACGGCAAAGCTTATTGAACGCTTTTTCTTGGACGTCGTATCGTGACCAAATATTTGTCACCGAAGGTCAGCGATTGATGGCGCCGACATCGTGTGCAAACAGAGATGTCAACTCAGGCGTGTCTCGCAAAGCAATTATTTACGAAGTGCTTGCAGGAGCTAGGACAGCACAGTCCATCGCAGACGCGGCCCTTGCGGAAACGAAACGTGTTGTGTTTCTCAGACTTGGCGGAAAAAGTACGGGCAGTCATGGCTCGGGTGGTGGCAGTAGCGGCGGAGCTACCGATGTCGTTGAACTTACTGACGCTAATTTTGAAAAGGTATGGGCTCCTCCGCAGTTTTATTTCAGTTCGATAGAATTATGAGCGGGTTTACAAATTTTTTCAACTTCAATGATTACGTATGCAAAGCGAGTGCAGCTAGCAGTATTTCGACTTTGTATGTTCTGACTGTATACGTTGTCGTTACGAGGTTATATGTATCTCGAACATGAATGCATCACTTATGTTCCTTTGCGGATTATGGTTCTCTGGATGCGGTGAAGTGCTGAATTGCTTCGTTGTAAGTTGACTCATAAGGGAAGCCTTTCTTGTCGAAGGGACCTTTTCACTTTTTACTCCGACTACAAATCTGTTTTTGCAAAACAACTCTCCGAGAAGGTATGAGTGTTTACAAGTCCAAAATTTTCATGCTATAGGTGGCAGACTGCGAAGCGTACAAAAACAGTTGAAAGGAGATAAGCAAATTTCTACCAAGTTTATCAACTACAAAAAGGAAACATGGCCCTTGGCCACGAAGGTTTTTGTACAGTTTTGTTTTTGTTTTTGTCGCTAATTTCACTCCACTTGAGTTTGACAAATTTCGATTGTCAAAACTTAAAACTTTCGGAGAGTTGTTTTACAGAAAACAAAGGTAGATTTGGAATCACCGTTTGATCGAAGTGTACTCCGACTAAAATTCGGAGAGTTGTTTCACAGAAAACAAAGGTAGATTTGAAATCACCGTTTAATCGAAGTGTACTCCGACTAAAAAGTATGTAATCCTTTTTCTTTCTGTCAGTTTGAATCAGATGATTTGCAGTGATTTTGAAAATCGAAAATTGTTGAAGTATAATTTTGCTTTTGATGTGTAATGTCTTCTGCAAGACAGCTTACAACTTCGAAAAGTTTGCTGGTTGCCTGCGTAGCTAAATGAGGATTATCATTTACCTGCAGTGATTAATTTTTTACCAATTTCAAATCATAATTTGCATACAACTTTCAGCTTGTTCTCAACAGTAAGGACGTATGGCTGGTTGAATTCTTCGCTCCCTGGTGTGGACATTGCAAAAATCTTGCTCCGCATTGGAAAGCCGCTGCCAGCGAGCTCAGAGGGAAAGTTAAGGTACTTAATTGTCCATACGGCACATAGCACATCTTCTATTACATATATACGTTTTGCCTTATAATTGTGATAGTAAGCCGCATTCGAGATTGATAACAAATATTTATTGGCTGA